ACAATATATACATCCAGCCACAAAATTATTATCATATTATGACGAATTTAAGACATACGAAGACATTTATTTTGCATAGAAATAAATAAATCAGTTGCTAAAGTTTATATGAGACCTCACACAAATATGCCAATGTAACAGAACGCTTTTGTTTGTACAACAGTTACAATGTACATTTTTTGGAACTTGAGATATTGACTTACTTACATTTTATACAGCTACATTTTAACTTACTTGTAACTGATCAAATGTTTTTATATTTTTGTGTTCTGTTTGAGTTTTTTTGGGGTTAAGTGGCAGAGAAGCATTATCATAAGCTTTATTATTATTTTTTCATGCAATGTATATTATTTTATTCAAAATACAGGAAAATTAGCTACTTCTAGAATTGATTACTATATTCTACCTGGATACAGCCAACCTAATGCCATATTGGCGCATCCAAAAAGTATTTAAGATATAATGAGATACCGTAGCGACAACTTGTCGCAGCTGTGACTATACAGGGTGTCCTCAAAGTTGGCACTTTTTTACAGAGCGTTTTTCTAGTAACGCATATACCTAAGCCTTAAGATAACTGAGATATTGAGTTCCAAAAACTCTAAACTAAATGGGCCAGTGCCACCCTGCATCCCTCCTCCTCCGCCTCCTCTTTCTCAATGAAAAGGTATGATGTTTGGTGTTTCCATGTGAGTCAGTATCTGAATCAGGCACCGCGAAGTGTATTGCTTAACATAGTTTATAAACGAGTCGCATTTGAAAAACCAAAATTGGCACGTTCTAGAACAATAACGTAGTTATCGATTTAATGATGGTCTTCAAAATCCTGTTAGTACTCCGCGAGTGTATCTGTCGTGGCCGTATCGTAAAGTTAACCATTTCATGAAATGCATCATTATCTATTGGCCAGATCATGATGTGTGTTGAACAGGTCAAAGATAACAAATCGTATTACGATATGATCAATCAAACAAGTGGCTACTTCATGAAATGGTCGAGCATGTTTGGAGAGAGTATTTAAAACATGGACGCATAAAATAGGTACACCAATTTCTGTTGGACAACTCGAGAAAACGAAAAAACGGTAGAGAAATATCAACCAATTGTAGCGAACTGACCGTCTTAAAAATTAGGCAATGTGCTCGTTAATTGTCGCTAATAGCAACATTATATCTTGTATAGTTGTACTAACTAGTCTAAGACAGTTTGAAACAATTGTGTCATCAGTTTGCGTGCTAACTTTATAAACAGTTCAGCCCATTTCAGTAAGGAATTTTTTTTTACAAACTTTAGGGTTCATCTGTGACCATGTAAAAATTTCAGCTCTAAATATGAATACACAAGAGGATGGAGAAATCTTGGAAAAAAAATGTTTTTTTCGTAACAAAAGGTGTTAGACCCATCCGCTATGTTTTAAAATATGTATAATAACGTATGCTTTATAAATATTATAGCAAATCTGTTCAGTAACTCACATATACGAAATGTTTCAATTTGTTTAGAAGGAAAAACGTGGCCCTTCGTTTTCCGCAAGCAAATAACAATTATCTTTCGAAACGGTTAGTAATTCACATCGGCAAGGTAAATTCGTGTATTTTGCTATAAAATGCCCTTTGAAAAAACCCTGTATATTGCTCAGTAAACTAGCAGTGATGACCGGAAGACATGTGTTTTGGGATAAACAGTTAAAAATTCTCAAAAACTACTTAACCAATCGACTCCAATTTTGTTATGGTTATTTAGAAGTATGAAGCCTACGGATTCGAAGAATTTCAAGTAGCTGCGTGAAAGTATCGTTCCATTAGCAACAAGTGCCAAAAACTGCATTTTGCCTCGGTTTTCGGCCATAACTTTTTACTATTAGTCGGATATTTTTATGTGTGGTCTCATTTTGTAGGTCTCATAAATACCTAAAAATCCTATTTGAACAGTTTTTTCGTTCCTCCCAAAAAACACGTTTTCTCATTCTTTGTTGTCGAATAAAAAGTTTCCCCACAAAGATTGGTGTACCCATTTTATGCGTCCATGGTTTAAATACCCCCTTGAACAACTTGCATCAATAAAATCCGACTTTGCAATTATTTCGGGGAAATTTGCTAATATTATTAGACTAAAATAGAGAAACAACTCCGACAAACTCTGATAGATTGCGCTACGATATCTCATTTTACCTCTGATAATTTTTTGGACTTGCGAATATTGAATAAGGTTGGCTATACCCAGGAGGAATGCGTTAACCAATGCTTCTACTCTACAGAGTGTCTACACTTTATGTGGCTTAACAGGTTTGTTCTTTGCTTTGCAGTGAATGGACAATATCTGCACCTGAATTGAGATTCTTTGCCACATTCCCATTTACCGTGTTTGTAGAGAGAAGCCTTGTGTCTATAGTAGTTACCGCATCGTAAGCATTGATGCTGATACCCTAAAACGATAGATGAATATTATCACCAATAACAAGGTAGGATAGTCTTTTATTGAACTAAATTTCATTTGTCCATAAACGACCAAAGAGTACCTGTTATCGCTGACACTTTTCCACGCACAGTTAACTTTTTCCAATAACCGATTGCAAAATACAGCTTTGCGGCTTTGAAACCAAGTAGCAAAACAACGTCACAGAATGCCAGATACAAAGATGTGACAACGTTGACAACTACCGTTTACAAATAGTTCTCCAAATTTGATACACCTTCGACCCATATGTTAAAAATGCAAAAGAACTCTGGCCTGCAAAAAGGGCAGTAACCGTTCTATGAACAATGATATTTTAGACTACTGGGGCTGTAAAAAATCTGTATGCAATTCGAGCTCAAACTATTGGCGCCACTCTATAAACATTGGGTCAAACGTATTTTTTATGCTGTAAACTGGCACAAATAAACATTTTCTACCTTGGGTAAGGACAAATCAGATCACTCATTTTTTTGATAATTTATTATGCATTACTAACATGTTGTGAGAACATGTGTCGTTTCAAGTTACTTTTAAGATTGGTCCTGTATGAACAAGTGGTGCAGACAAAGTTTTTCTCTTTACCACAATAATTCGTTTTATGGTGATATAATGACTTCCTTCTGGAATATGCTTTCCCACAAGCGCATGTATATAATGGCCCTGCAAAACAACATTGATCACATTATCTACATCTGAGGAGATCTTGGCTATGTATGGGAATAGGTCAAAGGTATTTCTCGAGCGGGATAATAAGCAAATATTTTCTACCTTTCTTAAGAGAAATCAAATAACACGTTTAAAGAAATTTTATTGCAAATTACTAGTGTTTGAACATCGTGTGCCGTTTCAAGTTGCTTTTAAGGTTTGTTCTGTATGAGCAACTGGTGCAAACAAATTTTTTCTCTTGGCCACAGTAATAAGTTTCATGGTGATATAATGACTCCCTTTTAAAATAAATCTTTCCACAACCGCATGGATATAATGGCCCTGAAAACAAAGCTGGTTAAGTTATTTACATCAGTGGTCTTATTTACTAGAATAGAAACTACATAATGCTAGAACGAACAGATCTCATAAATATCTTAATGTAATACTTTTAAGTCGATATTCATCAAATTACCATGTGGTGAAGCGGCATTTCGTTATTAACACAATATGTAACTTTTACTATGCCAAACTTCACAGCTTTCAAAATAGAACGAATTTGAATATTTTTTTATTAAAAAATCCTTCAAAGGAGAGAAAGAATTTTATATGCTTAGGCACCATCGAGATGATATCTAGAGAGACGCTATTAGAATCTCTTCTGGCTATACAATACGGCGTCAGAAGGCTGACATTTCGACACCCGGCGGTTTTAAGTTTCACACTCTGTACACATTTACCAATCAACAAAGACTTAGTTCTGCTCTGCATCTTGTGTTTACAGCAGACATACCTGTGAAATGTTATTCCACACGATTTCTTCGTATCCACAGCGGATCGCCTATACTATTTTACACGAGTATCTATCCAAGTAAACAGCTAATCAGCAAGTGACATCTTTGTATTAAAATCTGTAGCATTAGCAATAATGAATGAGGTTTGAATCGGGTATAACTCAGTACATATTCAGACCTGTTATACCAAACACTAATTGATTTCTTTCACATATCTAGATACTTTCAGTGACTACGAATTTTGAACAAAATAAATATGGTACATATAGAAAAATGTCTATTAGAAGATTAATCTATTACGTCAGGGATTTATTGATTGAGTTAATAGAACAGACTGCCATGCTCTTTCCAGTAGCTGTAAACTTTACGAGTAAAAATATAGATACATAATAGTAATAGTTTATTGTTCTTACCGACACATACAATGTATAGAACTCGTCGAAATGAATACAAAATTTAAAATATAAAAACAAGCAAACGTAAACACAATATTCCGAGACGGCGTAATAGCATTTTTTTATAAGAAACTGCTTAAGTTTTATTTTAAAAAAGCTCGTATCTTTGGAATTTCGTTGCTGCCAATACTTTCGAATGAATCCCAAAAACACGTTTTCTAATTCCTTGTTGTCGAAAAAAGTTTTCCCACAAAAATTGGTGTAGCCGTTTTATACGTATATATATGTTTTAAATACCTCCTTGAACAACTTGCGCCAATAAAACCAGACTTTACAGTTATTTCGCACACCAGGGGTATTTTCGTTTAATATGATTAGACTACTGCGTGTTCCTATAAAAGAAGCTATTCCATAAAAACATATCTTATTTTTGAGAAATCTTTAAAATGGCGTGTTTCGTATTATACATATCGGGATATGATCGCTAATAAAGATAACTGTTATTCTATCCGTTTTGATGATTAGTTGTTGAGTTATAAGCGATTCAAGGTTCAAGAACGCCCAATTTTAACAGCCTCAGTTCATGATTTTGAAGATAGTGAACGTTATATTATAAAGTAATCTCTAAATAATGAATCACATGATCCCTCAAACCAACTAAAAATTCCACAATGGTGCATAGTGGCCAATATCCAATTTCATCTATATGCGATAAACCGGGCTTATTAACAGAATTGTTATGTTTCACTCGTTTATTTATACATAGAAAGTGGAAGTACAGCATAATACAACACAACATTTAGGATCTATTCAAGCTAAATTGTAACTAAAACCTACATACGAGTACTTTCCGGGGTAGTTCGAGAGCATATCGCCCTCAAACCTAAAACCACTGGAATGCAGTTAGGCGATTACTTTCTCGCTCCTTGAGCTCACCGCCTGTGCTGCATTACGTTTGACAACATTGGATATTTAACAATTTCTCAACTTGGGACAAAATTCAGACAGAAAAACGCTGGTTCCTGGCCTCATAGATGAACTGACTTTGTAAACCAGATGATCAATGGCTTCCCAAATGTCCTTTATTTCTGGTGGTGGAGACAGATCCAATGCATGCATAATTTTGAGAGTCACTTCCAAGGCTGACAGGCAGTCGCCAAATTGGTATTTGATATCGTTGTTCAGTACCACAAAGTAATTAGTTACTTTGGAAGGTTCTCCAAGAGCTATCATGAATGGTGCTATGGAGAGATCGAAGAACTTCAGGTTATCGATTGTGATTTTTATGCGGGCCTCCATTTCTCTAGTAGTCTGAAACATGGTTTAACTTTGGAAATTGATGTAAAAATAAACTGATTCGTGCAGTATAAAAAACGGCATCAAGTAAGTTGACTCTGCACTTCCCACGCAACCGTGTGATGAGTTAATAAAAGATTATTTCTGGTGCAGGTTAGCCCTTTTGAGAATAATGTTAGCAACGAATATGTATAACAAAAAAAAATTAAATCGCTCAAGTTACTCTAACAGGCTTAAATAATTAGTCCATAGTTCCCACCTATTCGACAACGTTATGATCTAGAAATTTCTCCCCTGTCCTCCCAACAATACGGACCATCTAACAACGTTGCTATGATTAACCTCGCGACTCGCCAGGTAAGCGGCAGCAACCACTCATTGGTCAGGTATATCCAGATATGCGTGCGTCTCTGACATACCAAGTTGTAAGGGCAAATTGGAAGCGTATTAACATACTAACCACAATAAAACTGAGATGCCCTTCTGATCTTCCACCCCCTACAACCCTCACTCCTAACTTTTAACCCTTACAATTATTTTTGAAAACGATCAGCATCAAGAGCCTCATCTCGAACGAAGTTTGAGCGATTTTTGTTTTTCTATTTTTTTTCCAAGCTCTACGGCTCTGAACCGATTCGCAAAAGCATTCAAAGCTTTTTCGTCCTTAGTATATAGTACTAACCTTGACATTTTCGAATTTTTTTCGTGATTATAATCTTCCTCGCAAGTGGCGTGGGAGGTAATAGTCATAATGGAAAAACGGAACTTTGAAAAGAAAATATTGCAGTTGCCATTTATCATGCATTCAACTCAATTGCATTACCCCGGAAAAGTTATATAAATACCCAATTTTTCGCGTATTGGAATGAGGTGCAAGAAACTCGTATTAAGCGAAACCGGAGAAGAAAGGGTACACTTAGGCAAAGAAAGACAGACACATGAAGGAAAGAGTAGATGATAGAAGAGGTGCCGGAAGGGAAAAGAAGTTCTGGCTCAGAAATATAAGGTTTTGAGCCCTCATGCGTTTGTCAGAATTATTCTGTACTGTCAAATATAAAGGAATGTTTCCTAGGAGACTGAATTAGAGGAAGGAGAAGAGTCATAACAAAACAAAACCAAGCCTAATACTTACAGATACGATAGGAAGAAACTTTTCCGTCATTTCTTGTCTGCTGAGCTTGTAACATTTCTTCATGCCTTTGCCTCTGTTTGTTGAAGGCTTAAAGAACCAGGGCAGCAATCTCAGGCTGAATAGATTTTTGTCAGCAAATTCGCTTGCATATTGCATGTCTCGAGTTTGTATGTTTTTACTTTTTGCAAACTCTATTAAAGCAACAGACATCTTTTGCCATGCTTTATGTATACTTATGTCTTTTACGTGCGGATATTTTTCATTGAAGTCGTCAACTAACTGAAAGAAAGAAAATGTCTAATAGGAACTAAGGCACCTTTTTCACTTGTTGCAACGCGATAAGTAGTAAAAATGGCGTCAAGCAGGTTGACTCTGCACTTCCCGCGTATCGTTGTGATAAAAGATTATGTTCGGTACAAGTTAGCCCCCTTAGAAAAAACTGCGTACCTCTACATGAATTAAACGAATCAAGTCAGTTAAATGGACCGGAACAATTAGTCACCAGTTCCCACCTATTTGACAAGGTTACAATGAAAACATGTTTTCTATTTGTGAAATATGTCTAATAAGTGCTTAGAATTACTGGAGACAGAAGCATATAAGAATATTAACAACAACAAGAACAACAAAAATGAGATACATGAGCTTGCATACTTACAAGTTATGATGCCAAAAATTAATGGACAGAAAGGCAGATAGATCGATGAAAATGAGTGACATATTTTTTCGCAATATACCGGGTGGGTCAATAATAAAGTATGCCTGGAGCTATCGTTTAAACAATATTATATAGTGATAAAGGTGGATAAGAGAAATTGCTGGAAATCACTTTCAACTTCCTAAAATAGTCGCTAGGTGGCGTTATTCCAATTTCAAAAATTCAAACGTCAACATTTTGCAAAAATTCATAACTTACTCATTAAATAGAATTATCGTGTTGACTGATAAATTTCCAAACTTTTTTCCTTACGTGATTTTTTCATATTGCCATTAGTTTAGGGTTGGAGGAAGGGTTTCGTCTGAAAGAGTATTCGCCTGCGCTCCTAATGAATGCTCAACCTTGACAGATTCGTTCAGTTTGTGTCCGCTAGATGGCGCTTTGTAAACGTAGCAAATCCTATAAAATGGTTAACATTGCAGATCAACATCTTCATTCATGATGGAGATATATTAAAAAAACAGGCTCATATTACAATTTTCAAGTTCTACTGGATGAAAAGAAGGATTTATTCCATGGATAGTTGTGTAACATGTACCAAAATAACACGATTATAAGATATTTTACTTTAAAATTTATTGTTAAGCTTTTCATAACTGCTAGGGGCGTAGCTGCCGCCGAATATATGAAAAACATCCTGTTATAGCGGCTATTTCGTTTAGAAGAATAAATTGCTTTTTTCAATGAATCTTTTTCTTGAAGAATGTACAGGGTGCGGCGCTTAAATCCGGACAAATTTCATTTTGAATTTCCGGCCACCTAGTAATTCCGCCAGAGATCGCTATTGGCGTTCTTAACAACCATGGTCATCTAGTAAAACGTCATAACTTAAAAATCGCCGGGATGTTACTTACAAGTGCGGAGTACAACAGAAGAGCTGCGATTATCGAATGTCTTTGCGCTGGGCGTTCGCCAACCGAAATAATTCGATTCTTCGGGTACACGAGAACAATGGTATACGATATTGGATCCATGTACAATGCTTCTGAGGAGTCTCGGGAAAGTTCCTCTAACCCAGCGAAGAAAACTCATTCGAAGGAACGAAGGTCACGAACTCCGGCAGTCGTGGAAAAGGCTCAGGCGCTGATTTCGGAAGACCCGGGGCAATCGTTGCGGAAATTGTCGTCACTATTGAGGTGCGTATACGTATACATAGGCGAGCCGAGCGGTTCGCGTGCCGCTTGTGAGCCGCTCGATGGTGGTTCGTTGAAATGATTTTTTCCGCGAAGCTCCAGCGATCCACAGATTCAACGCACCAAACGCAAACAAATATCGCAGTCGACAAATGCAGTATGGCTTCGCGAAACGAAAATTATACTATTTTAGTGATGAGTGCTGCAGTTTTAGTAATGGCTGATGTAAATAAAAAAAAGAGAAGACAACGACGTTGGTGACGTACTAATTTATTCAAGAAACGCAGTGGTACGGGAATTTTAATGGACCTAAAGTCGCAAGAAATAAGCGGACAGTATAAAAATTTCACTCGAATGACACCTACTGACTTTGAGAATCTGCTGCAAAGGATTGGACCCCATATTTCAAAACAGGAGACTTATTTTCGTACTCAAATCTCTGCCCAAGATAGGTAAGTCGGTGTACCGTGAACAGGTAGCTTTGTTTTTTAACATATTTTTTAAATTAATATTCTAGGTTAGCCGTAACACTTCGGTTTCTTGCCACGGGAGATTCATATACTAGCCTTCAGTATCTATTCAGAATTTCCAAGCAGTCGATTGGGCGTGTAGTACCCCAAGTTTGTGCTGCACTAATTAAGGAATTGCAGGGATATATCAAGGTAACAACATTAATACGTATATAAATTAAAGGCCTATGTGTAATTCAAAAATATATTTTTCTTCACTTTAAAGTAATTTTCACCACTAAGTTAACAAACAAAAAATAGAACTCAAAAACGTTACACAAAATCTTCATAATTTTCTAATGTGAGTGACGAAACAGGTGATTGTAGCGATGATGGGTTGGACAATGATGGTTCAGAAGTTGCAGGAACGGTTATTACTTGCAGAGGTTGTGAATAATAAGTTTCAGAAGATTGAGAATATAGATTATGTGAAGTAGGTTGGGAATACATCGAAGAAGTAGGTTGTGAATTGATATGATTGGTAGCTTGTATGTAGGAAGTAGGTTGAGAATCATTGTAAGATTGAATTGAAGTCGGATTAAGAAGTCCTCTATCAGCTTTAATAATAAGGTCAAAAACGGCATGTTGAATTGTCTGTTGTATTGGAGGGGGGGTATTTTTGAACCTTTGCAGCAACAAAATTAAAAAATAAATCTATTTCACTGGGTTGAGTTGGCTCTTTGTCCATTTTTTTCGCAGCATTCTTCAAAATCTGAAATGCATCACTCATTATTGGAGAGGAAACATTATCTTGTTTTGTTTTTGATCGCTTTGTAGATTTGGAGGTAGATGGTAGCGTAGGTGTCTCTGGTATCGCCTCTTGTTCCATTTGTTCGGAAGATAGGGCAGCTTCGTTAACATCATCCAGCTCCTATTAAATACATTTTCAGTAACTTTATATGTAGTTTATAAATAATGAAATTTTGAAATGAAATTGTGTTAACATAGTATTAGCGATTCCTTTTTTTATTATTTGAGAAGGGTGGTTTTATCTTATTCCAAAATACACCAAAGAAGTTGCGCAAAAAATGATATTGAATAAATAAATTATTAAGATAAGCTAATAATGAATAAAACAGGTCAAAATTAATAATTGTTATTTCATTTCAGCTACCTAAGACTCCCACAGCTTGGAAACAAGTTAGCAAGATATTTGAAACTCGTTGGAACCTTCCTCATTGTGTTGGTGCCCTAGATGTGAAACACGTTGTTTTACAAGCACCAGTGAAATCGGGTACCGAATTCTTCAATTATAAATCCAATTTTAGTATTGTGCTTTTCGCACTGGTTGATGGTGATTATAACTTTATGTTTGCTGACGTAGGCTGCCAATGAAGAATTTCTGATGGGGGGGTTTTTAAGGCAAGCAAATTATATCAGCAGCTTACAGAAAACAGGACTTCCAACACCAGAAGGACTAGAAGGATGTTCTATGCAAATACCGTATTTTTTTGCCGGCGATAGCGCATTTGCTTTAAGCGAAAATCTCATGAAGCCCTATACTGGGGACATTCCAAAAGGAACTCCTCAACGAATTTTCAATTATCGTTTGAGTAGGGGTCGTCGCATAGTTGAAAACGCATTCGGTATATCAAGTGCAGTGTTTAGGGTGTTCAGAAAACCAAAGCTCTTAGAGCCTGAAAAAGCAGAGTGGGTTATAATGACAGTCATTCTTTTGCATAATTATCTCAGAAAACACTCACCAAATATTTATACCCCTTTTGGCACATTAGACTATGAAGTTAATGGAAATTTAACTGAGGGATCATGGAGAAATGAAGGAGATATGACGTGTATGGTACCTATACGAAATATTCCTCGAAGACCCACAAACTATTGTACAAAAGTTAGAGATGAAATCGCTAATTATTTTATAAATAATGGAGCTCTAGAATGGCAGGACCAATATGCTTGAATTTATAACAATAATTACTTACCGTAGCAAGTCTTTTTCGTGGCAAATCTGTGTCTTCTAAAAACCTAAATGCTTCATAGGCGAACCATCTGCTGCAATAAACTTCATCTCTTCCTGAAAATTAAAATCGAGATTAAAATTATATACGGCAAGTGAACTAACCTAATTAAAAACATATAATTTAGTTGAATTAAAAATTAAATTAGTATTAGCAGAAATATTTTGTATTATTATTTAAATAAAACACAACTAATTTATCTTATTATTTCATTTATTTACCTTTTCCTGTACTAGTCCCCTGCTTTGTTTTATTTTTCTCCCGGCGGAAAGAAGCTAAGAGGCTTATTATTTTCTTTTTGCACTGTTCAGCAGTGGTTTCCATTTCATCCCCAATTTCCCGCCAAGCATCCTCTTTCATTTTTTTTTTGAAGTGATTTTCATTTTTAGGATCCCATAATAACGTTTTGATTTTATAAACGTTTATCAGACATAATATTTTTTCTTCCGACCATGAATCCATAACTTTATTGAAGAAAAATAAAGTTCACTCGCGAGCTAAAGAAAAACAACGAACCTTGTCTAAACACGTCCCAATATGCACTGCGAATTCTTTTGTGTTCGTCGAAAAAACCGACAGGCCGCGGCTCTGGACTATGATGTTTGGAGCGTAGTCGAAAGGGTTACTACTACTAAGTCCAGGCACCCGCTATCGAAGCATTATTACCAATATGGACCGCGCTGTTTTAAAGAGAGCATGCGACCGTGTTAGGACAAGGATCAAGGCGGTCATCAGGGCTGAAGGAGGTTATATAGAGTAATTTTACTCTCAATAGATACAAATATATTTCTGTAAATGAATGTTCACTTTTGTTTATGTTTTGTGTCAATAAACTTGTTTTTAAATAAAAAATTGAATTTGTCCGGATTTAAGCGCCGCACCCTGTATATTGTCCTCAAAATAACCTATGTTATTTCCCAATGATTTGGAGTACTTCCAAGCAAGTTATCGATGTCTGATCACGTGATCTGCGGTTTTTGCCATTAGCTTTCCGATCAATGTAACAATAATATATTATTGTATTTGAAATCTTCAAAGTCCAAAGAAACTCTCACGAATACACAAAGCGATATCTAGCGGACACAAACTGAACTAATTTAAGGACATTGAGGATTCAGGTGAATAACCCTTCAAACGAAACAAAGGTCATCAAAATGTAAATATTTTATATCGATAAATATAAAAATATGACAAACAAAATGTTCGGAAACTAAGCGGTAAACACGATACGACTATTTATTCAGAATGTGATTAGCCAATGCGAAAGAAGAATTTATAACATTTCTTTCTCTTTATCGCATTGCATCGTCAATTGGGAAATTTGCCTAGTTTTCATAAATGTAGACAGAACAAAAATAATGTATTTTATAGCAACTCACCAATCTGTACCCAAATGATTTGGTTAAGCATGGTAGTGCAGACACATATATTAGCGGTGAACTTGCTAACTTCAAATTCATCGTTCTAAGCCTTCTAGTATGTTGCCAAAGTTGAAAAATCCGTTCAAAGTCGTCGCTGGGTTGTTGCAACTCCTTGTAGCACTCTTTTTCGGAATCAGATGCCATTACGTTCATTGGGCCAATCCCAACATTATACTCTGTAAAATATTTGTTTCCAATAAAAAAACATGCTAAAGGCTGCAGGGTCAGAAAGTTATTCAAAAGATGAAATTTCCAGAACCAATTCAGTTTGGTGAAGCACATGCGATCAGTCTCTTTCACACGCGCGACGTCACTCGGTGACAAAAATCTCCAGAGACAAACGTTCAGTTTTATCTGGTACTTTGGCCCGTAATTTGTGATTAGTTTATTATGTGCTGTGTTTTAAATAAGTCTCTGTGTGGAATATAATCAAAAAACAGTGAATTGGATATTTAAGCATGGTGTACTGAGCAGTGGTGGGTTGTTGAAGCAGCAACAAGAAAAAAAGCGAAGACGATTGCTAAAACGCACGAAACATCGTTGTAAACGTTTGCTTATCGTCACAGATTCTATTTAGCCTAAGTCGATATTTATATGCTTTTTTTTTCTTACCCGAGGAATCTTCTTGTGAAGGCTGTACTTGTGCCAAAACTAGCGCCCTCTTGCAGTTTGCGTATCTTGCATATAGTTTTCCTCTAGTTGGGCGTTTCTTCCCCTGGTCTGTTTTGCAGTATGGAATATAATACGATTCTATCCGTTCACCTGGGAACAGTCTCACGATTTCTTCTGCTACAGGGCGAAACAGATCTGGAATTCTGAATTCAATATGCCGATAAATTCAAATACAAGGATGTCGAGATTGTAGCCGCAGCGCAAATAAATTCAAGCTAGAGGGAATGCTTGCCCCTTGTTCATGTTCAGCTGTCAAACATGATTATTTTCTACATTAGGCTGTACTACATAAAGATAATTGGTGGCTGTTTTCCTCCGTTAGAACTTTGCAACGTAATTCTAATCTCTAAATCTTTATTTTGTCGTTATAAAAGTGGTCTCAGAAGTCTCAAAAAGTCTCGTGTTCGCGTCATAAGATAAGTTAAAGTATCACGGGCCAAAATCACGTAACTTTTTTTATGCTCAAGGGGAAGGGGCGGCTTCCGGCAATAACAGCTGCAAAACAGCTACAAGGCAGCTACAAAACAAAGCTGGAGGAGTGTGTGGTGGTTCTTCGCAATGTTTTCCCACGCTGAAGGTTAAAATCCCGTGAGAAAATGGACGGGGTAGCACCCAAACGAGCACAACTAAACGTAAAAAAAAAATAAAGCAGGCGATGGACCCATCTGTACACGCAAGTTTTTAAAAGAAGGTATCTTGATAGGATAAGAAAGTATTTTGATAGGTAAAGAAGGTATGGCTGGTTGCCAATGGGCGGAACCAACTCTACGAGGGACCAATGATATTTTCTGAGATAGTCGTTAATACATAAAATAAAATACTATAAAAAAGGGTTTGTCGTAGGAATCGGTACTCTACCATTAATAAAGAGAAATTCAAATAACTGAGAAGTGATCAAGATAAGAAAATGTTGCGAGATTTTGGCACGTGACAAAAGGTCCCAAAGATAAGGTTTCTTGAAAAGCTTTTGTTAAAAATATTTTTTCATGCAACTAACCGTTTTTGAGATAAGAGGACGAAGAGCGCGCTGCGCTGCAGTATAAGGTTAACCGGATTAAGTCTATAAATCATTAAAAAACATATAAACATAATAAGTATTTTTCTATTAACTGATGCGTTATATTTTTGATATTTACCATTGATCTAACATATGTTTATATAAAACTTATACTTATATAAAAAAGCGCATATATGTTATAGAGACCCCATAGTAATACATACATAACCAAGGTATGACTTTTCAAAAAATCAGCGGACTTTAGGGTGACTCTGTACCTACAAGGGTTGGCGGCTTACAACTAAAAAAAAACCGCAGAACCCAGTCAAAATATTGTGACAATAAAGAAGCAAAATACAATATTTTGCAACTGCAAGAATGATTGTGGTTCCCGCTGTGGCTGCAGGAAATCGGGGTTGAAATGATATTTAGCTTGTGGCCAGTGCAATTGTCTCAATGCTTCATCGTATAAGAGCGGACGCGATGAAAAGACTCACATTCTTAATACTAAAGTCTTTGTAAAAAATGCATGAAACAGTATCAATATAAAAATATAATAAAAATGTGTTTTCTCAATATTTCTCGACCTATAATGTAATTAGTACATATTAGAATATAATTAAATAATGAGAACTATTGAATATAATGTGATAATTAATAAAAAATGCTAATTAGGTATACAAAACTATATAATTTTGTTTATACGGCGTATTATCGGGACTAACGGTTGACCTTGGATTATGCCGTAAACAGCTGAGCTCTGCGCGCTCTTCGCCTTGCCTCAAAAAGTTTAGTTGTATGAAAAAATGTTTGAAACAACAGTTGTAGAGAATTTTATAAGACATTTCTTTTAAAATGGCAAAATAAAGCTTTCTACATGTTTACCGCTTATTATCTCCCCTTCCGAGGTTGATCCTCTGTTATGGTTATGTATAATTGGACTAAACGATGTAATAATTAGTCATGCACAATTTAGGCTTCGGTTTTGAATTTGCCGTTTGAATTGGCCGTAACCACACTTCCACTTTGAGGTCATAATGGTGGCCAAAGATGAGACAACACTCTTGCAGAATTAATCAAGATGCAAAGACTCGCTTGCCTGTCGATCACAGCTACAATGGAAAGCGCCGCACCTGCAGCATCAAGTACCATGCTTTTTATATTACCCATAAAATTTCTAAAACAATGAGGTGGGTGGGGATGGGTCAAACCAGGCTGCTGTTATAGTCAAAGAGAAGGTATGAGGTCCTTGGAAATAAGGAAAAATATGGGAAGCGACATACTGAACATGTGGAAGGACCGCATAGTTCCCAGATTTGCATTAGAAAATCAGAGACGAACAGAACACTAAATTAAGAAACTGCAAGGGAAAATTGCGTGGTGCACAGATGGGTCAAAGACTGAGCAAGGGTACATGTGCAAGTATATATGGGTTCAGGTGTAACCCTATGCACAGTAAGCCACTTGGAAGACACACCTCTGAATTTCTTACAATCTTGCTTTAGGCAAGAGTAGATACAGAGGCTGCGGTGCCATCGGAGTCTGACGGCTTGCGGAAAGGAAAAAAACGACATTCGAACATTAAAAATTCTACTCTCCACATAGTTATGGATATAACATAATTTTAGTTTTCCATTCATAAAATGCTTCATACTGATCGATATTTAAATTTATGACCGGTGCGTTTCAATATTGTTCGACAGTTAATGGTTATTCTCATTTCTTGGAGCTACGTGTTTCAAAGGAAGCGTTATCAGTCGTTTTCCGATAATGATGTATTTGATTGAAATGTTCATACAGTTATCTTTGTATTGTTCTATGTAGGGTCCTAATAAAGAAATTTTCAAAAGCTGAACATGAATAAAGAACAAATTTTGTTTCTGTCAGCCAAGACTAACCTTCTTTTGAATTTGAATGTACATTTCCTCAAATAATAAATTATAGAAACTCACTTTATTGATGGATCATTAACCGTCATTAAGTGATCTATTATGACTCTGACCAGCTTGGATCTGCTGGAATTATCCAAACCGTCTTTCTTTAAAAGCACAATTTTGCCGTCGTTGCTGGATTTTAAAAGATGTTCAAGGCCCTGAAATTACAAATATCGTCAGTTTCTAGAATAATGTAATCGCGAAAAAAATTGAAATTATCATTACGTTTTTAGGATGCATTATGACAATAAGTCATTTCGATAGAACTCCATGTTTATTCGGCCAAATAAAACTACATATCTTGAAATCACCCTTCACTGACATTTAGCCCACGACGGTGGTATTTTTCAAACTATACATGGATGACAATATACAGGGTGTTTCAGTTTATTGTTGCATAACTTTAAGATTCGATAGAACTTTTAAAATTAATGTATAAAGTCTATATAAACATGGGTCGAAAAATGCGTGGCTTCCGAAATACAGGGTGTTTAAGTTTACTTTCTAAAATAGTTTTTTTTAAATATTTCGAACAATATTTGATGCATAACAGTGAAAATTGGTATACAAGGGTTTTTTGGTACGACAAAACGAACCATGGGCATAGTTTTACTGTAGCCGCTAGAGGGCGCTCTCTACTGTACCTGTAGTGTATTAAAATGACCGAAAATTTTTTCTTAGTTCAATTTTTTGCTTTTTGAATAAAAAAAAAACTGATTCTTCGCACTTTTCAACATAAAATAGGTCTCTTGTGAATTTTCGTTATAGTTAGCCGTTTTTGAGATATTTCGATTTTTAAGGTTCGATGCATTTTTAATTATTTATGATAAAATAACGTTAAAAAGTCAGTATCTCGATAATTTTTAGAAGTAGGCTGTGCCTGCAAATAATTTTGAAATTGAAATCAGAATAAGGTTAAACGTTAATTAGTTGACAGTTTGTTTTGTTGTCTGTTGAAACCTGAAACGTTTTTTTGCAATAGTAAATGCACGAAATTTAGTTTCCTTTACCTTTTTTTTGTAAGTTTTATAAAAATGCCATTTTTATTCTCTAATCAAGAGTTAGCGGATATTCATTTTGTGTATGGCTTTGTAAATGGAAACGCAGCAGAAGCAGCCAGAGAATACGCACGAAGATTTCTAAACAGACGACATCCAACTCGCTCAGTATTTGTAAGAGTGCATCGCCAAATAATTGAAAATGGTTTTGGAAATCTCCAAAGGGATCAAAACATAAATGTTCGTCGGCGCAGATTTACCCGTTTGATTCTGCGTGAGTTTGATAGAGATCCCACCACAAGTGTTAGGAGAGTTTCTGGTGCCTTGGGAATTTCAGCAAGCCATGTTCACCGTGTTCTTAGAAATGACCATAGACATCCTTACCATTTGCAACCTGTGCAAGGACTACAGCCAGGGGACGGAGAACGAAGAATCACATTTTGTCAGTGGATTCTTGATAGAACTGATAATAATAGGGAGTTTTTAAGTAACGCTTTATGGACCGATGAGTCATGCTTCACTAGACGTGGAGTGGTAAATTTTCATAATCAACATATTTGGTCGCATGAAAATCCGCATGCAGTTCGGGAAAGAAATTTTCATCATGAATTTAGTGTGAACGTGTGGATTGATATCTACCGTAATCGACTATTTGGACCCTACCTTTTGCCTGCAAGGTTAAATGCTGAGCCCTTCTTGGAATTTTTAAAGGCTGAACATGCAAATATGTGGGATGATGTTGTTAGATTTAAGAAGATTGGCCTGGTTCGAGCTTGATGGTTGTCCAGCTCATTATTCGAGAATAGTTAGAAACTGGCTGGACGAAAATTATCCAGAAAGATAGATCGGCCGTGGAGGACCAGTCGCCTGGCCTCCACGATCCCCTGACCTAAATCCATTAGATTTCTTTGTGTGGGGATTTCTAAAAGAAAAAGTGTACCAGACTCTCGTAACCACATGAGATATGCTATTACACAGAATCAGGAATGCATGTGATGAAATAAGGCCTTATTTGAATAATGCTCGATCATTCGTAGATGTGAATTGTGTATTGAACAATTGGGTTTACATTTCGAGCAACTACTTTAGAATTTGTATGTTTATCCTAACTATCCAATAGCATTTTAGTTGTAAATAATTAATTAATTATTTGTTAAAAATAATATTGGAAAATTAAACAAATTAATATTCTGTTTTTTTGTGTTTATTTGGAGTTAGGAATTATTGCTGTGTTTAAAAACACAATCTAAACGATTATCTTAATTACTTGTAATGCCCAAATGGAAATTGTAAAAAAAAATATATTATTTTCCCATAAATAATTAAAAATGCATCGAACCTTAAAAATCGAAATATACTAAGTGACATATAAACCCGAACACCCAGTTTAAATGGTTTTATTTTAATAAAATTTTGTATAAGTACCTAATGAAGCATAATAAGTAAATGATAAAAATTTCAAAATGATTTCACTGCTTTAAAGCACTTTGACCATTAATAATGTGTGGATGCACCCTGATGTGGTACGCATTCTCCAACGCGCCTAGTCATGCTTCTGATCAGGTGGTCAATGTCCTCCTGTGGTATCTCATTCCAGGCAACCACCAACTCCTCTCGAAGTGATTCTAGAGTCTGAGGAGGACGTTGCAAATTGAGCAATCTCCTACCCATCATATCCCACACGTGCTCAATTGGGGATAAGTTGGGAGATCTTGGTGGCCATGGTAACAATGTGACATCATTATGTTGAAAGAAGTCTATTGTGACTCTTGCAACATGTGGTCGGGCATTATCTTGTTGGAAAGTTGGATCTGCCAGGGTGTCAAGTTAGGGTAAAAGATAGGGTTCTAGAACTTCGTGGATATAACGCTGCACGTTCATGTTACCTCTGATGAAGATTAAAGGTGACCTGGAACCATAAGCTATAGCACCCCAAACCATAACTCCAACAGTGTGTTGAACATGTCTTTCAACAAAAAACTGTGGATTCCTCCTTTCACCACGTCGCCTTCTAACCCTGGCACGACCATCGTGCATGCCTAAACAAAATCGAGACTCGTCACTAAAGACAATACTGTTCCATTCCTGATCCCAGAGTGACCGTTGTCTGCACCACTCAAGGCGATTACGTCGGTGTTCTCGAGTTAAAGGGAGGACCCAGTGTGGCCGGTATGAAAACAAGCCAAAACTTCTCATTCGTCAGTAAACACTTCGCATGCCAATAGGTCTTCCGTGTTCTGCAAACCATTCATTTGCAATGGACCTGGTAGTGGAGAAACGGTCCCTTAAGGCCAATAATCTTAGGCGGCGATCTTCACGGTCTGTTGTTCTACGGCGGCGTCCAGCGCCCCTTGCTCTTTGCGTACGGCCTTCTCGAAGCCATGCCTGACAACACCTAACCACAGTGTCTACACTCCTTTGCACTCTAACTGCAATTGCCCGAAAAGAAAGTCCAGCTTCCCGAAGTCCCACTATACGACCACTACCAAACTCACTAAGTTGACGAAATCGTACAGGTCTCCGTACTCTAGGCATCGTAACCGATCGTAAAGGATGTCAAGAACCAAAATCCGCCAACGCTGATTCTTTACTGCGGCTGAAATATTCATTTTTAGAGCGTTAGTGAATTAAAAAAAGCAGTATAAAAACCGGAATGTCCAACTGATAATGCTGAAAATTTTTTCACTTGTTATTTACAGTAAGACAAATACATTCACCAACTTTTATTAAAATAAAACCATTTAAACTGGGTGTTCGGATTTATGTGTCACTTAGTATATCTCAAAAACGGCTAACTATAACGAAAACTCAGAGGAGAGCTTTTTTTATGTTGAAAAGTGCGAAGAATCAGTTTTTTTATTCAAAACGCAAAAAATTGCACTAAGAAAAAAATTTCGCTCATTTTAATACACTACAGGTACAGTAGAGAGCGCCCTCTAGCGGCTACAGTAAAACTATGCCCATGGTTCGTTTTGTCGTTCCAAAAAACCCTTGTATACCAATTTTCACTGTTATACATCAAATATTGTTCGAAATATTTAAAAAAAAAACTATTTTAGAAAGTAAATTTAAACACGCTGTATTTCGGAAGCCACGCATTTTTCCACCCATGTTTATATAGACTTTATGCATTAATTTTAGAAGTTCTATCGAATCTTAAAGTTATGCACCAATAAACTGAAACACCCTGTATTCCACGCTCATCTGTACTCCATATGACAGTTCGTTTGCTTTTTCGCTAATATACAGTCTGCTGCAATAGATTTAATACTACTGTACCATGCTGAGATCGTGCGAATTTCCAAATGGCATCAGGAAAAACCTCCAAAGCCCATGACCGCCTGGGGTAGGCATTCTCTCAGAGGTATTACGTAAAAATCTGTTTAATCATCGCTAGCCCATTTTGGTACCTATTGAGGAATGGCTAAATGACCATGTCGCCTCAGATGCTATAACTAACATTTCGCCATCATCATCAACACAGATTCACACGCACTAATCATTACTGTGCACTGCAGTGTTTTCTTCCAGTTATACTTTATAGTATAAAACCTACAGCTTAGGCCACATGAGCGATAAATGGTCTCCACTAGCGCCATCTCTGAAGCACTTGCTACACCACATCAGAACCACACCATACAGCTCAATGTCATGTCATCTAGGCAACACGCACAACTACCACAAGTGATCATGAAGTGAATGACAGCTGGTTCTCCTACTTAAAGAACTATGGTGGCAGAAATGATAGTAAAGAGTAATCTAAAAATATGTGGCAAAGACGCATACGGAGCTCTATTAGCATGAAAACCACAGGATACGTTTCAGATGTTACACCAGTTATTTTCTTGGGTTTCCTTCGGTAATCTTTGACCACTTACACACTTCGAAAAGTGCCACTCATTTTGATGGAATTTTCACATAAAGATATTGTTACGTCAAATAAGCAAAAACCTTGTTTTTGAATTTTGAATATAGCATATGTGACTGAGAAATTATGAGCAAGCTACCCGTCAGAAATTTATCAATTAATTTCGATGCGGCTTCAAAATACTCAAAGAGTGGGTGTGTCATTCAAGACAAGATTTATACTGACCCGTTATCTGAATGTACATGATTCCATGTTTGTACGTTTTTTGAGTTTTGGGTGACTTTGGGCTAAGTGAATAATTTAGAGAAATACGTTGGAGAAACTTTAGCTTACCTGTGGGAATATTGATACTTGTTCTGTTTGGTCAAAATATTTCCCTAAAAAGAAATCCAAGTTAACAAAAATAGCAGAGTGGTGGAAAATTGCGGACTTAAATAGCATTGAA